AATAAGTGTGCGAAGAATCTAAAAAAAAATTCAAAATTGGTAAATAGTGGGGGAAAAAGCTTTACAAAAGGGGTTCAGAAGAATTTTTGCCTTTTTGCTCACTCTAAGCGCAAAATTGAATATTTTCGTACACAAGTGAAGATTTAAATAAATAAAACAAAAATTAAACGAATTTATTAACAACAAATGCTTACTTGCTAACTGCATTCATCCTCAAACCGCTTCTGCGAGCTTATGTAGTTAGTTAGCCCCTTCTTCAGCCAAATAAATCTTTATGGTCAATACAACATTCCCACACACTTATCGCCGCCGATTATATTATTAAACAAAATTAAAAGAGAATGTCGTTGGGTGACAGGCGGCATATGCAAGCAGATGCTGGTATACAAAAATACTAGGTATTTATAAAATGGCATAGACATATTGCCACATGTTGCTTGCAACAAAGGCAGATAGAGACATTACATAATGAATTTATTGTCCATTCACTTCGTAGCGAATTATAAATTTAAGCTATTAGACGATTGCCTCCAGCCAACCGGGGGGCATCCAGAGTGAGACAGTGGATAGAAATATACAGGTGGACTTATATTTGGCCGCATACGATGTATGTACATTAGGGTGGTTCAAAAAAAAGTAAAATCATTTGAATGTCCTCATCCCCTAGCATTGTTGTAAACCAATAAAAATTCTGTCCCCTTTTTATTTTGAAATCAAAAAATTTTTCTATGTGTTTTATATCGAGAAAAAAACACGTTTTCTTAGAAATGGTATGGAATTATTGAAAATCTATATCTTTTCGATCGGAAAACTTCATTTCTCCGCAGGAGACTTCCAGCATCAATAACCAATTGTTTATTTAACAATTTTCTATTACTAACCATTTTTTATTGCATCTTAAAACCTCAAATGGGTCCCCTTTGCATTTTTGACGTTTTTAGGTGTCCTATAAAAAATAGTTGGCAGTTTTCCGTTCGAAAAATATTGATTTTTAAGAATTCTATACCATTTCTACGAAACATTGTTTTTCGTCATATAAAATACATGGAAAACTTTGAGCTCTTTGAGCGACCTGTAATTAGGTTTTTTTTTATTAATATTTGGTTAAATTGGAGATAAATCTAACGAATTGATTTATGCAAAAAAAAAATCGACCTACCTATGTTTTTTTTTTTGTTTGAAGAAGACATTTAAGAGGTTGAAAGGGCATTAAAGCTTTAGATTTTAAAGAAAAAAATTCCTCAATTTAGATCGGTTGAATAGCACCAAAAAAAGTTCATATGGCTCTAATGTTTTGTTAAAAAGTTTTTATTTTCCAAAACATTTTTTAATTTTTAATTTATTTAACAAAGTCATTTAGAGCTATGTTTTGTTAAAACTTCATAACTAAATTTTTTTTTAACTTAATTTAAAATATTTAAATTTTAAAATTACACAACCCCACGTTAAAAGTGTCTTGTACTTTTGACTGTCATACCCTCTCCCCCATGCGTTTTAGTGCTCTAGTCTGAAGTCCGTTTTGCTCCATCACATCAGAACTTTTTCTAACCTCAAAAAGATTTTTGCAGTTTGTAAATTTTTTGGCTCCAGCTTACATAATTCACAACTGATAGAAGATTAGCAAAGTAACCTCAGCTTGTCAACTTTTATTTTCAATAAAAAAAGCTATATTTTTTCAGAAATTCACGATCCGATGTGCAAGAGTCGTTTCCCTCTACGTGGCCGTTCCAGCAATTGCGCGTGCATCGCCCTGGATCTTCGCCAGCTGGCGACTATGAGGATGTAGCAGTGTACAACTATGCCGATGGTCAGAAATATAACCAGCAAAAAGTACATCAGACCAAACGTGTAGAGAGAGCGCATTGTGGAACTTAGGGTTGTTTTTTCTTTAAAACTGTAATTAAATTGTAAGGCGCTTTCTTTTTTTTGTTTTTGATTATTTTAAACACTATCTAAGGTTTCTCGGACATTTCACTTTTTGTTTTGTTTTATCTATTTATTCTTATGCTTTTTGTGCGCATATTTGGACTTTTCATAATTTATCGTGAATTTTGGAAAGAAAGAGAGAAAGAGAGAGAAACTCATACACTAATGCGAAGAAGCTGAATAAGAATAAAAATCGCTTAACAGCACTTTTAGTTTTGTGATTTCGGTCCCAGTAAAAAATGTATGGACTACTACCAAAATCGAGCAATAAAGGAGTAATGACTTGTTCATCCATTTGGAGTAAGAAGCGAGCAATGCAATTTTTTTTTTTTTTATCCCAAAATTGTATTGATTCCTGTCATATTAATACGTTCTGTAGTAATAAACGAGCTAAGGAATATACGAAGATTACTCCCTTTGTCATAGTTTCGCAATAAAAGAAATAAGCTCAAAATAATACTCCCTTTTCAATATTAACAAGTAAGAGCAGCGCTGTCTTCGGCTATGCCGAAGGCTTCATACCTTTCATGAACATCTGCAAATTTTACTTTGACAGATTACTGCTTTTGAGTACATCTGCATACATCGATAGAGGAGTTACATACCTATATAAAAAATCGCATCTGAACAAACAGAGGTATGGAAGATATACCTTATATTAGCACCAATCTAAGTGATTTTCACTGCTATGTGATCGGTATGTAAACCGACACAATTTATTGGGTTTAGTTTCCTACATAAAGGAGATATATCGCAAAAACTGGTATCTGAACAATCAGTGCTATAGGAGATAAAGCTTATACAGCATAGATTTTGACGATTTTCTCAGTAGACTTTGTATTATTATTTATAAAATATCTTACGAAATTTATCGGTTTTAGCTGTTCAAATAAAGGAGTTTTACAGTAAAATCCCATATCTGAACAATCAGATGTATGGAAGATATATCTTGTAGTCACCCGATCCTTGTTATTATCACTGTAAGTATTCTGTTAATAATGAGTGAAAATGGTGCGAAATTTCATGTTCCTAGCTGCATAAATGCATGAATTATAACGAAAAATCTCATATCTGAACAATCAGTTGTATGGGAGCTATAGGTTATAGTTATCCGATCTTTTTAATTTTCACTGTAAGTTTTCTGTTGATAATTATTGAAAACAGTGCGGAATTTCCTGTTCCCAGCTATATAAATGGAGCAGTTATAACGAAAAATTTTATATCTGAACAATCAGTTGTATGGGAGCTATAGGTTATAGTGAACCGATCTTTGTAATTTTCACTGTAAGCATTCTGTTAATAATGGGTGCAAGTGCTGCAAAATTTCATGTTCGTAGCTGCATAAATGTAGAAGTTATAACGAAAAATCTCATATCTGAACAATCAGTTGTATGGGAGCTATAGGTTATAGTGACCCGATCTTTGTAATTTCCACTGTAAGTATTCTGTTGATAATAGGTGCAAGTACTGCAAAATTTCATGTTCCTAGCTGCGTAAATGGAGAAGTTATAACGAAAAATCTCATATCTGAACAATCAGTTGTATGGGAGCTATATGTTATAGTGGTCCGATTCTTCCGGTTCCGACAAATGATTAATACATTATAAAAATACACCCACTTACCAAATTTGATCCGGATATCTCGAAAACTGAGAGACTAGATTGCATACAAACAGACAGACAGACGGACAGACGGACAGACGGACAGACGGACAGACGGACAGACGGACATGGATAAATCAACTCAGCTCGACGTTCTGATCAAATAAGTATACATTTTAATGGGTCTATCTCTTTTTGTTCTGGTACTTACAAACATCGGACCAAAGTTATAATACCATTTCATGCTCATGAAAGGTATAAAAAGGAGTATAAAATGCAAGGGGCTCGAAGATTTCTGAAGTAATCCATTGCTCGCAAAGGACCTATCTAAGATTAATCTTTGGATGAAAAAATTCTTTATGGTTACTGATTGGAAATTTAAGAATAATTATATGCATTGGTAATTTCGCGAAGCGTACTTTTTATTTTTTTTTTTTAATTTTTTAAATGTGTATGTAAATATACATACATACATATTTATTGCGAATTAAAATATTTTTAAAATTCCATTAAAAAATTTTAAATTTTAAGTTTTTTCAAGTAAATTTCTATTTGCTAAATTCGAATTTCTTAAATTTCTAATCCAATTTTTTAATTGACTTCTAAATTTCTAGTTATGCAAATATTTTATGCAAATATTTACCAATTCCAAATATTTTTTTTAATGAAAAATTTTAATTTATTTTATCAATTCTATTCTGTTTTTTAAATTTGAAAATTTTGCAGTAAGAAAAGTTTGAATTTTTAAAACAGCTTTTATTTGAAAAAGAGGCTAATTTTTTAAAACTTCTATGATGCCTTTTAATTTTGAATGCTTAGAAATGAACAGCAACTTTCATTTCTGCAATTTCTAAAAATTTAGATTACTTATACACTTTTTAATTTAAATATTATATTAATATAATGCACTTATGTGCATGCATTAAAGAACTTAAAATATTTGCGAAATATCTTTTAATTTAGTGGGTGAATTGAAAAAATTTGGAATTAAAAAAAATTTAGTAATTTTATTTTTTTGGTAGTAGATAGTACGCGTGAATTTATATTAAATTTATTAAGTGTGGAGTTTTAATAAAAGTTTGCACTTGGATTTTTATAAATATGTCTTTTTCAATTTGTTTTATATAGTTTTATAAATTTTGTAATAATGAAATAAAACATATTACTAAGTTAGGAATTTTAAATTTTAAAACTAAGATTTAATGCTAAATATAACTTTAAAAGAATTAAAAATTCATACATTTTGCAGTTTATAAGCAAATATGTACGTAATTCAAAAAAGTTGTATGTTTACATACATCTGATCTTTCAAAATAATATTTACAAAAAAAAAATAAATATGTACATACACATACATGCATACATATGTATATATATGAAGCAAGCAACCCAGTTGGGAAACCAAGCTTCAGTCATTCGTTTTGATGAGCAAAATTTTAAAACCATCAGCTTGTAAATTTTGTTTGCTTCTGTTAAACAGCAGTTTCTGTAAAATAATGGTCTGCAATAACATCATGAGGCTTTCGTTCTGCGTTTTGTCCAGAAATCTGAGCATTCATTCCGCCATTTGAGCTTGCACTTAGATCAGCGTTTTGTCCAACATTCCGAGCTGCACTCGATTCTACAATTGAGCCAAATTTCGACCATAAATTCGGAGAAACTTCTGGATAGGCTTGTGAACTAGGTTTTAGTTCTACGACCACAGCTGCATTCGATCCAACATTTGAACCTGCACTCAAACTTTCATTTGAACCGTTCGAACTTCCATCTGCGCCATTGTTTGCTGCAGCAATGGAATTGGCATTTTTTTCTACAATTGGAATAACGCTTGGTCGAGTAGTCGGAAATAGATTTTGATCTACATTTGGAGCTACATTTGGAATAGCGTTTGCCCCTAAAATGGCGTCTGCATTTGCATTCGCATTTCGAAGTAAGTTTGGAATGCCATTTTGTCGAATATTTGGCTGAATAATTGACCCTGGAATGTGAGCAACGTATACGCCTCCATTCATTTCTCCATTCTGCTGGTCATTTACCGAACTTCTCGTTCGTAACCTTCTCATTTCCATACTTTGATTTGGAAAAATTGCATTTTGTTCACTCAAAGCTCTACGAATGGTAGCAATGATGAAGCATATAATAAGCACAACAACAATAATTATAAAGACGAGTGCTGTGTATTCGACCCACATAGCATTTAAATAAGAATTTTTCTTATATTTGTTTGCCTATAATGTATTCCGATAAGTAAATGAAGAAGATGGTATAAAACTTTTGTAATTTTATTTCACGAAACACTTTTGGTTTTATGTTTTATTTGTTTTGTTATTATTTTACTCTTTTTGGGATCTCCCGTTACTTCCTTCTTTCAGCGTCAAAGCTACCAGACTTATTTTTTTTTTGTATTAATTTTATTCCTAGACTATGTACTAATTTTACTCGCTGGCAGAAAATTTGTTCCTTGCACCTGAACTTATTGGCCTCTTCTATGTACTAGAGTGTTCGATTATTCGTCTTTTTCTAAATCTGGTTTTCGATTGCGGATAAACCTCCTACCTCGCCACCTATTTGAGAAATTGTATTCCGTTAAAATCGTGCACTTTCTTGAGAGGTGTATTAATTCAGTATTTACCTTATCTTATTACTTTAACTGAGTAAAACTTTTCTCGTTCCAATTTTCATGATAGGCGTATTCCCTTAAATTGGTAAAAAAAAATTTAAGCTTTCTCGTCTGCCAAATTTTGTATGAATATTTTTATATTTTGAGTTTTTCAACTATATGATTTTAACGAAGTGCCTTAATGTCATTTTCCTATTGTTTACTTCTGATAATTTTCTCAAAAATTTGCTTGTACTTATTTTTTTTAGCTTAATCTCACTGTCTTTCGTTTTAAGTAAATCTGACAATACATAATTTAATTAGACCTTTCAAACAAGGTAAAAGACAGTGCGAGGGAGAGTGAGGGTAAGGTGTAATGCAGCTAGTAGCTAAGAAAAAATCGCCTTTTTATTAATGCATGTATGTATGTAAGTGTGAATATGTTCGTATGTATGTAATTACAGTTTTTCAATTGTATAAAAATCGTGCAACAAATGCAATTATAAAAGTTGTAATTGTTTGAAGAACGATGTAGCCGACTCAGAAGGCAGGATGAAAACATATTCCAACTCTTTTCGCCGATGCTGTACATACATGTCTGTCCCTGTTGGGTAAGTAATAGACGTACAACTTTTCCTCAAGCCCAACAATCTGTAGTTGGTGAAAAACCAAAGAGTGAGAAGATGTACTCATCTTTCCACTCATAAATGAGTACCTCCTAGTGTCTGAGCATATGTGTATCTCCACCTGTGCCGGTGAACGCTTTCATACACAGTCGTTTCAGTAATTTTATTTACTAACTTTTCAACTTTAAACAACATCGCCACTCATAGTGCAGTCTGGGTTGAGCAACAAGCGGCAGACACCAATAACTAGCAGCAGCTGCCAGCTAGCAAAGGGTACTATGTACATATATACAAGTAACTATGTAAATTTTACGCGCTAAATGTTGACTTGTTACAACTCATCAGATTGTTTGTTGCATCATCAACGTCCTCGGCCTGCAATTATTTACCTTCCACGTATCCTGAGCCACACATATGATTGCCATGGTGACTGAAAATAGCGGTGAACTTCCACTCTAACTTTTGAGTACCTCTCCGCCTGTGAAGTGTCATTGTGTGACGGCAGCGGCGGTTAATAGACGAGAATGTATTTAGCAGGAAGGTATGTAGATGGATGTATGGATGTGTGGGTAGCTTTGTTCCAAAAGTGGTGCCCGACAACACTGCCAATATTGCGCTCATGAGTGCGACAGGTTAATGGTGATAAGCACTCAATGCGGTGAGTGTGTATTAGCTGGGGTTTTGTGCGGCTGAGTGCTTTCAAAGTGTGTTGCGGTGATTATTAGCCATTGTTTCGCGCAATTTTAGTTCATTTGGAAATGTTATATATGTACATATATAAGTATAATTTTGTTTGCAGTTAGTGAGGCAACAGGGGTATTGTCAATCTCAATGGGGCTTTCAGAATTCTAAATGTTCAACGATGATCGTATGGCACTAAAACGCTTTATTAAAACCTTAAATTTGGCGATATACTTAGAATGTCTTTAGTGTTTGCCCTATTATAGAAAATTTCCCCTCTTATGGATGCACTTTTCATTTGAGTGAGTTATTGGAACATTTGTTTTTGCATAACTTTTGTATTTTGTTGATCTATATAGGAAATAATGTCCAGTAACTAGTTAAATACTTGAGTGACTTTTTTGAGTGAAATTGGAAACACTTAAAATTTGCAAATTCATCTCTTATACTTCTTTTCACCCACTCAAATTAGGAAAAGCGCGAAAGTTGCCACATTAGCCATTTGAGTGACTTTTTGAGTGAAAAATGTTTAGAAAAGCAGTGATTACTTTCAACGCCGCATGTTAATTTGCTAAATTTTCACTTTAAACTTATTTTTGCAAACAAAAAAATTTCCGGAAAGTTACCAAGTGCAAGAGTGGTTGTTTGAGTGACATTGGAAATACGTAAAATTTCAAAATTCATCTCTTTTCACTTTAAACCACTTAAATTAGAAAAAGCACGAAAGTTTTTACATTAGCTATTTGAGTGGCTTTCTGAGTGAAATTTATTTAGAAAAAGAGTGACTAATTTTAACGTCTTGTTTAATTTTTTTGAATTGTTACTTTCCACTTATTTTTGCTAACAGGAAAATGTTCGAACAATTATTAGACAAGTGCACGACTGATTGTGTGAGTGAAATATAAAACACTTAAAATTTTAAAATTCATCTTTCTGCACTTCCTTTAAACCACTCAAATTAGATAGAGCACGAAAAATTTCATAGTAGGAGTGACTAGTTTTAACAGCGCATGTAATTTTGCTAAATTTTCGCTTTCCACTTATTTTTGTAAACAGAAAAATTTCCGGAAATTTACTAAGTGCACGTGTGATTGTTTGAGTGAAATTTTTATAATAATTAAAATGCCTAATGGTTCGACCTTAAGATAAGTTTTTGATTTTAGAAGAAAATGGCTCTGGAAAAAGTGGAAAATTTAATTTACTAGTAACGCATTGATTAAAAAGCAACTGAGCTAAGCTTTGAGTAATTTATTTGTATTGGTTCTTGTCTTTTCTAGCACTGCAGTTAAATTTTTTAAATCAACTGAACTAAAAAACGTACCAATAAACCATGCAATGTTTGAGTGACTTTTTGAGTGAAATATTACTGACGCAGAAGTGACTTAAAACTAAACATATTTAGAGCGAGTTTAATGCTAATTTTGAGATAAAAACATCTGACATACATACATACAATCACTTGAGTGATTTTCTTGAGTGAAATTGGAGTTCCGTTAAAATTTGTTTGGTCTTCAATTCCCGATTATAAAGTACACAAAATAGAATTTACACCATAAAATTTGAAAACCAGTAGTTTTTTATAGCACTGAGTAGATTATTTTTAGGTAAGATTTGTGGTTATGTGTTCTGCGTATTTTTCTCTCACTTCAGTTCAAATTAAATGAAATTTAAAAAACACACTTATACCTTGGGTGTCCTAAAGAGTAAGCAAAAAGGGTTAATTAACTTTTGAGTACGAAATTGAGTGTATTTCATTCAATGAATTTTCAAAAATTTCTAATAATTTCAGCTCAAAATTTTCATTGCAACCTCTTTTACATACAAAATAGCTTATGAAATCGAAATACGTATGATTGTTTAAAAAGTGTTTAATTACTCAAAACAGGGCTCAATTTAAAACTTTTGTGACTTTTCGAACCTTTATATTTCTCATTATATACAGAGTTGCTCAAACAATATTTATTCCAACCATTTCAACATTTGAGTGGCTTTTGAGGTAAGCCGAAAATAGCTGCTTTAGTTTTAATCAGACATATATATTTAGGTTGAAATATCAAATTTTTGTCGATCACAGCTCTTCAAAAGTTGAGTATCTTTTACTGAAGCTTCGTAGTTTAAAGTAATAACTGTTGGAGTTTTTTTCATATTTTGCTATACAACTAATTAAATTTTTCTGGAAAAACACACTTGCATAAAAACTTTGATAATTGAGTGCATTTTTGAGAGCAAGTTTTTGCCTTTTTCAGCTGGGCTAGCTTTTCCAAGATAACTGGTATTATTGTCCCTACTTAGAGTTGAGTTTTATCTTAAAAGTGATCAAAATTATGCTATTTGCGGTTAAACTTTTAAAGTTATAACCAGGCTGTTTCTTTTGTTTTGAGTTAAATGGATTGAGTTTTATTTCAAAAAGAGCATGAGTACAAAACGTTTTTGAGCATTTTCCAATATTGCTGTTTCATATTTCTGTTTTTAAAACTCTAACCCAGTTTTTTTGCATTCATTTCGTGCATTTCCACACAAACAAAAGAAAGTGTCGTTAAATAAATCATGAAAAAGCTTGAGTTGCTTTTCGAGTGAATTATTTGGGGCATCATATTGCAGATTATTTGCGTGGAAATTTCACTTTCGCGCATATTTCCATACACTTAACACTTTTAATTGCTTTTATTCATTTGCATTCCGCAATCTTTTGCCCGCCATTTGTCTCTCTTCATCTCAATTGCTCTTCCCCGAAATTCTCTCAAACTCTGCTCGCTTATCATACAGCCCATTTTAATCACTTTATCGCCACCGAATGGCCATTTTGGCATTGTCTCAGCTGTTTTTAATTGAAAAACTTTTGTTAATTGTCCTGGAGTCGTCATACGCCGCTGTGCCAGTTGTTGTTGTTGTTGTTCTTGTTGTTATTGGCGTTGTTTCACAATTCACTTGCCATAATCGTTGTTGCACTTTGTAAGTGCTTTTGCAATTGCAGTTGGAATTATTGTAATTATTTCGCAGATTGCGTTGGCTCTCTCTCATTTCCGCTGTTCTTTATTTATTTATTTATATTTTGTTTGATTGCGGAAAGCGTGGGTACGCACGAAGCATAAACAAATGTGAAAGT